ACTTACTCATCTCTACCTCCCGAACTTCCAGCATGGTGGCCAGCAAAGAGTCAGGGTCACAACCCATTTATTCATTCACTCATTCCACACTCTCTGATACCAGCCCCCTCAATGTGTTGAGCACTGTGCCAAGTGCTGGGGACACAGACGTGAACAAGACAAAAGCAACGGGGTCCCTCTTCTCAGGGAACTTTCATTGTAGTCGAGGAGACATAGAGTCAGTAAATCATTTCGAATGGATGAACCTTTGCAGGTTACAATTTGGCAGCATTTCCACCCTGTTTTCCAGGGAGCATACATTGTGGAGGATTTTAAGAAATATTTCAATCTGTGGTCAAACGTATTTTGGAAACTTTGGGTTACACAAAGTCAAATAAATGTGTGTACTGCATGATTTGTCAGCCCTTTCAGTGTACTATTTATGGATTTTTAGGGGAGTGGTAGGGAGAACAGTTCCTGAAAAACTGATTTGGTTTTAGAATCCTTTCTTGTAAAGATACCATGTGACCTTGGATGTGATGTGCTGGGAAGTTCCACAAAGACATTGCCTGAGACCTCCTGGGTGGCCCCTAGCAGCTGACTCAGCTGCCGGTTATTCTATCAGTGCAGAATGTACTCAATATATTTTTCTGGATTTGGAGTCACAGCTTCTTCTATTCCAGAGCCATCTATAAGATGAGAGAAGTTCAAATAGTTCACAAAAAAATGGAATTAAAAGACAAAAATAAAAATATAAACTTTGTTTCTCAACATAAGCTCCATCAAGTTGTAGACACTTTTGTAATGATGATACCAGCTATTTAGTCCATCCTTTATTTATTTATTTATTTTTTGAGACAGAGTCTCACTCCTTCACCAGGCGCCAAGCTGGAGTGCAGTGGCGTGACCTTGGCTCACTGCAGCCTCTGCCTCCCTGGTTCAAGCAATTCTCCTGCCTCAGCCTCCCGAATAGCTGGGACTACAGGCATATGCCACCACACCCAGCTATTTTTTTTTGTATTTTTAGTAGAGATGGGATCTCACCATGTTGGCCAGGATGGTCTCAATCCCTTGACCTCATGATCCACCCACCTTGGCCTCCCAAAGTGCTGGGATTACAGGGGTGAGCCACCACGCCCAGCTAGTCCATCCTTAAAGAACTAACAGTCTGGGGAATTTAACCATTTCAATGCCATATGTTTTTGCATTGTTAAGAAAATGGATCCTCTTTAAAGATTAGAAAAGATAAAGAAGTCAGAAGAAGCCAAATCAGGACCATAAGACAGATGCTTAATGATTTCCCATTAAAACTCTCACAAAATTGCCCTTGTTTGATGAGAGGAAGGAGCAGGCACATTGCTGTGGTGAAGGACTGGGAAGCTTTCCCTGGCATTTTTCTGCTAAAGCTTTGGCTAACCCTCATGAAACTCTCACAATGAGCAGATGCTATCGTTCTTTGGCCCTCCGGAAAATCAACAAGCAAAATGCCTTAAGTATCCTCCCAAAAATGTTGCCATGAATTTTGCTCTTGACTAGTTCACTTTTGCCGTGACTAGATCACTTCCAACTCTTGATGGCCATTGCTTTGGTTGTGCTTTGCCTTCAGGATCTTACTGGCCAAGCCATGTTTCATCTCCTGTTACAATTCTTAGAAGAAATGCTTCAGGATCTTGATCCCATTTATTTAAAATTTCTGTTGAAAGTTCTGCTCTTGTCTGCAACTGATTTGAGTGCCTACTATGTGCCTGGCACTGTTCTTGGCACTGAAAACAGGATCCCTGCCCTCCTAGAGCTTGCATTCTAATAGAGGAGAAAACATATAGAGCTTAACCGGTTACACAAAAGAACATGAAGCAGGATAAGGGGCTGGAGACAGGGCGTCATACTGCTTCTGTACCAGGAGCCAAGACTTGAGAGGAAAGGTGGCTCCATCTCTCCAAAGCTGTGTGTCTTCAGGAAGGCCCTTTTGCCTCTTTGAGCTGAGGAAACCAATTGTCCCCAGCTGATACTCAGGTTCCCAGCCTAAGAAGGCCAAGGTGGCCTTGGTCAGGTCTGAAGCCTTGGGTCCACTGGCTCCCCAGGCAGTGACTAAAACTCTGTAGGCAGAATGTTGGGATTCCAGGAGCTTCTCTGAACAGGGTGCTGTTTATTGTGCCACTGCTTCCCCACATCCTTATTTGCTGTGCTGGGAATACCTGGGACAGGCCCATCCTCTGTTTGTCTCTGTGGAATTCTGGGATGATGGCCGTTGGCTCTGAGCACTCATTGAAGATTTTCCACAAAAGAGCCTCTGCTTCTTGTGGGGGGAGTTTTGGGGTTCTGGAAACAACTCTGACATTCACCTGCTGACTCTCTCTTCCCCTCTCTGGTCCCAGTCTCCACATCTGTAGAGCCAGGGAAATGAGAGGGGCTTGGTGATGATCTGATGATCTGCCATTGAATTCCCAAATTGCGGAGGCTTAGGGACTGCCAGGTAGGAAGAGGGAGAGAACAGAGAGGCCCATGGACAGCTCCTCATCCCATTTCTCCAGAAAAGTGCCTTTTTTTTCTGATTTTTACATTCAAGGTTTGTCCGTTTCATATATTGTGATCCAACATACGATTTTGCTTGAACAAAGGGCTAGGGGTTGTAAGTATTTATAGACTCTGGTCTTGTGATTCTCAAAGACATCTTACCTCTGAGATGCAGGGATCTGCCTGATTTGGGAAACTGAAAGAATGATGACAGATCAAAACTTAGGATTTTTTAGTTGTGGCATTTGATTCTGTATTATTGCTTTTGCATTTAACCTTTAACGTGTGTGTCCAGTAACCTGGGTTCCTGGGATATTCATTTCAAGTTGAGTTAATTTGTTTTACAGTTGTTCTTCTCTGGGCTCCAACAAATACATTTTACGTATTCTGAAGGATAACTTTGTATTAACTCTGACAGCTTATTTAATTTTTTTCTCTAAAACAATATATCTTAGGTCAATAGGAAAATAGGAGGTGCTGTACAGAAATTCCCTCTGCGGGAGACTTGTGCACCTCTGTAAATTTCATGAGTCAATGTGAGCACTGATACAAAAGCTAAGGTACTTGGGAATCTGGACATTTTCCACTGTAGGGTGTGTTGAGCAGAGTCTCGGGATGTGTTTTTCAAGGTATAGAAACTGGTGACAGTGTGTCTCCCCATCTCAGTAAATGACAACCCTACCTTCCCACTGCTGAGACCAACAACTTTGGAATTGCCCTTGGCTTCTCTCTTTCCCTCACATATCACAACAGATCTATCAGCCAGGCTGTCAGACGTGACCTTGGAAATAGATCGAGAATTCAACGACTTCTCACTACCTACCCCACAATGTACGCTAGTGGCCAGTGTCTTTCGCTTGGATTGTTGCCATAGCTGTCTGATGGGTCTCTGTGGTCCCTCCCTGGCCTCCCTGTAAGAAGGATTAACTAATCATACGTCTCCCACGTAACTTGATTATCTGGGAGACGTATGATTAGTCCTGCCCTGTTTCGCTGAGTATATGTTCTATGAGGGTGCCTCTTAGGTTGGTGCTCTGTTTGATGTCCTGTGAACATGGAATAAAGTCAACAAAACTTATTATGAATAGGAAGTAAGAGCCATAATATGGCTCCAGACAGGACCAAATCCAAGAAGAAGTTCATGTTTCCTAGAACATGCAAGATCGTTGCCTTGAGAGGACATAAGAGAGCAAGAGCAAGGCAGGAATAGTTTCATTCCACCAGTGCCCATGCAAATAATAGGACATTAGGTATTATGAATCCTGTAGGACAGGGATACATCAGATGTGAAGTCATTGTCATTATCACTGTCATTGTGAGAACAGGTGTGTAGTTTGACAGGTTTTGATAAATGTGTACACCAATGTAGCTACCACTCCAATGTAGGTCTAGAACATTCCCTTCAGCCCAAAAGGTTCCTCTGTGCTCCTCTGCAACCCCTACCTACACCCACACAACATAGACCTTCCACCCTAGCCCTGGCAACCACTGATCAGATTTAATTTTGTCTGCCTTTTATTGATTCTAATATTCAGCTTAGAACAGCAGCAGGGCACTTATGTAAAGGTCTGGCTGTGGAGGTAGATTGCCTTGGTCTACCCTGTCTGTGCAGCCTTGCTAATGACCTTCTTGCATCTCAGTTTTCTAATCCATCCAATGGGGATAATGATATACCTACTTCCCCAGGATTTTGTTAGGAATAAATAGCATCTGGCACTTAATGGCCCAACAGATATCAGCTATTGTTATTGTTTGTGGAGTATGCGTTTTGTGTTGGGCATTGTGCTAAGTACTGCGTAAGGATGTGGGAGTTGCTCCCTGTGCCCTCTCCACGTCCCCACTGGTGCTCACCATTCTCACACACACCAGCAGCTTCTTACTGCATCTGAGATGCTCTGAGGGAACATTTCCTCTGGCTGCAGGAGCGTGCTCAGGCTGCACATAAGGAGGCCGGAAGTACTCAAAGTTAATCATACGTCTCCCACATCACTTGATACCTACCTCATCCAATGATGGCCAGGAGTTGGCAGATAAATGCTCCAACTTCCTTGCCTCCAGTTGAGACAACTCTAAGGCATGGTCTGCCCTGTCCCCCAGGGTTCCCCATCAGAATTGAGCTCCAGGTGTCCACAGTGGTGACCTTCTTACGGGACACTCTCTGAATAGGGTTCCTGCTGTTTCACTTCCCCACTGTCCTTCCAGAACCTCCAGGGATCCCCTATCAAGTAAACTATTTTCATTCTCATCTTTATCTCGAAGACAATAGTGTATTTCATTTATTTCTCAAACAGCCCTATGTGGTGGACCAAAATAGCTTCCTCATTATATAGGTGAGCAAAACGAGTCTTAGAAAAAGATGATACCACCTGCTTAAGGTCAATGCCTTAGGCACACACACCTGCTCCACTGCTGCCCTGAGAATGACCCGGGGCAGGCCCCGCCCCGGGCCTCCTTCCGGGTCTCCCCCGCGCCGCACTGACCCTCTGAGCATGCGTCTCCTCCTGCAGGAAGGCCGCTGCCTCTTTATCATCCTGCTCATGGCGGTGTACTGGTGCACGGAGGCCCTGCCGCTCTCGGTGACAGCGCTGCTGCCCATCGTCCTCTTCCCCTTCATGGGCATCTTGCCTTCCAACAAGGTCTGCCCCCAGTACTTCCTCGACACCAACTTCCTCTTCCTCAGCGGCCTGATCATGGCTAGCGCCATTGAGGAGTGGAACCTGCACCGGCGAATCGCCCTCAAGATCCTGATGCTTGTTGGAGTCCAGCCGGCCAGGTAAGTACAGGTAACAAGTCCAGCCTACAGTGGGGAGGCGGAGGGACCGCCGCTCTGAAGCCTATACCTGCTTTTCTTGGTTTACTCGTCCAGGCCAAAAAACTCATCAGTTCCTACCATTCATTCCTCAGCTATTCAGCAAGCACCCGCTGCATGCTAGACACAGCACTAGGACCATCATGGGGAGCTTTTCTCAGAGGTACAGAAGAATTACCTGGGGAGAGGGTTGAGATCCTGACCCCCAGGCCCCACCCCCCGGGATTCCAGTCCCTTAGTTTTGGAGGGGGCTACACTGAGAGTATGACCCGGACTGCTCAGGGCTGAATCCCAGATGACCTGCTCTGAAAAATGACTTAACGTCTGTCTGCCTATGAATAGTAATGTAGTGGCACCCGCCTCATAGAGCATAGTGAGGATTAGATGAGTGAATGCAGGTAAATCCCCTAGACTTGGGCAGGCGATGCTGGCTGTTAGCATTCTTATTTGCTATTTACCTGCCTAGGTAATGAAGGTCAGATGGGAGTTGAAGGTGGGGGAGGCGAAGGAGGAGGGAAGATGGCATTGGAGGGAAAGGGAGGTAGGGTCCAATCCTAGAGAGCCTCGGGCCCTCTGGCTAGGATTTAGGCTTTTATTCTTAGAGGATTGGGTGGCCTTTAAAATAGGGGTGTTATTTTCATCTTAATTTTTGTTCCATGAACCCCTTTGGCATTTGGTGAATCTCAAGGATCTTCCCAGAATAACGTTTTTAAATGCATAAAGCACATCAGAGTTTGAAAAAACAACTACAGCAAAATGCAATTACCTATTTTTTTTAAAACCCAGACACCTGTGCCCTGGTGCCATAGGAACTGCTTAATTAACACAGCAAATGGCAAGACCCAGCAGTGGGCCTAATCACACCCATGATGTTGAGCAGCTTTGAGTGCAGATGATATTTCAGGCCATCTGCAATTATTATAATGTGACATAAAAATGTCAGGGATCTTGCCGGGTGCAGTGGCTCACGCCCTGTAATCCCAGCTCTTTGGGAGGCCAAGGCAAGGAAATCATTGAGGTCAGGAGTTCAAGACCAGCCTGGCCAACATGGCAAAACACCCGTCTCTACTAAAAATACAAAAAATTAGCTGGACGTTGTGGTGCTGCTTGCAATCCCAGCTACTCAAAAGGCTGAGGTGGGTGGATCGCTTGACCCCAGGAGGCGGAGATTGCAGTGAGCCAAGATCACACCACTGCACTCCAACCTCAGTGACAGTGAGACCTTGTCTTAAAAAAAAAAAAAAAAAAGAAACAAAGAAAAGGAAAGACAAAAAAAAGAGAAAACATCAGAGTTTTTTTGGGTGTGACAGAGCCTCAGGCACTGCTCATACACCTGAACTTTGTTGCCTATTTATCACTGAAGGAAATGCTTAATTTGATTAGATGTTAGCAAAATGAAGATACACATTTTCTCCCAATCTAGTTCTGAATTATATACATAGACTTATTGTTATAAACCTGTGCTTTAAAGGGTTCTTAAGCCAGGGAGGGATATAGCCAGATCTGCTTTTTTAAAGATTCCTTTTAGCTACCTAGCAGAGATCAGTTGGGAGGGGTGTGAGAAGCTGATACATCCCAGTTAGAAAACCACTTAGGGTGTCCTGACAAGAGACAGTAGCAGTTTGGACTAAGAGGAGGTAGTGGAGATGGACAGATTGGATATATTTGCTCTTTGGGTGATAAAATCAACACAGGGGAGGGCATAGGATAAGAAGGCTCTGCATGACTCCTAAGTTTCTAGCATCTTCTCTGTGCCAACCACTCTGCTAGACTCTGTAGCTGTGCCTCCTCCTGGAGGAGCTGCCAGTCCTGTAGGACAGACTCCATCTATGGAACTGATTCCAATGCCAAGTGGAATTTGATCTCCAAGGGCTCACCATGGTGTGAGAGCCCGCATGAGAGGTAGGGGAAATAGGGGGAGACTTCCTGGAGGAGGTCATGACATTTGAGCTTAACTTTGAAGAATGAGTAGGGCTGCTCTTAAACATACTCTAAAGTTACAGTAATGAAAAAAGAGTAAGACAAGTCTGGAAACAGATTTTTGAAACACAGAATAAATCTAAAGGACATCCAAATCAGTAGGGAAGGATTCTCCAATAAATGGTGGGAGTTGGGATAATTGGTTTATTCCATGAAAAAAAATCTCTTTACATCTTACTTTGTACTATGCATCTAAGTAAATTTCAGGTGGATTCAGAGTTCAATATAAAGAAAAAAAAAAATCCCGAGGCTTAGATTCTGTTGGTGGGAATGGACCAACTAGAAGCAGGGAGGCAGGAGAGTTAAAGTGCGTTGGATGCTACTGAGAAGTTCAGCAGAATCTCAGCAGCGGGTGGCTGGAAAGAGTGGGAGGGGAAAAGGGGGAGGAAGCTAGGAAGGCCATGAGAGAAACATGGTGGAATGTCTTGGTTCCCAGGCAACTTTATTCTGAAATGGGTGTCATGGAGGATTTGGGGGCAAGAAAGAGAAAACATCAGGCTAGGGATGTCTTTAGAACCTGGGCACCTGTGGACAGTTCACTTAAACACATTAAACCCCAGTTTTCTTAGATCTGAAATAAACCTGGTGAGTGGATTTGGTTTCTGCTTGGAGTCTCAAGCTTCCATCTGTAAAATGCATGATTGGATTCCTCAGAGGTGGCAAACTGGGACCAGAAGATCTCCTGGGCCCTGGCCTCTGGATTTGCCTATAATGCCATCTGTTCTGCAGGCTCATCCTGGGGATGATGGTGACCACCTCATTCCTGTCCATGTGGCTGAGCAACACCGCCTCCACTGCCATGATGCTTCCCATTGCCAATGCCATCCTGAAAAGCCTCTTCGGCCAGAAGGAGGTTCAAAAGGACCCCAGCCAGGAGAGTGGAGAGAACACAGGTGAGGCTGTGCAAAGGGATTGGGGCCAACTCCAACAGGGTTTGGAAGTGGGAGTGGAATGTTCAAAGGGAAGGCCAAGGGCATGCACACTTATTGAGTACCTACTGTGTGTCAGGTGTTTTAATTATGATAAGGACTGACAATTAGATAAAAAATCATGTACCTTGTTTTGTAAAAAAAATTTGTACTTATTAAGCACATACTATATACTGAGCACTGAGTTAATCTCTTTACATACGTTATCTCGCTTAATTCTCAAAACAGCTCTATAAAGTAGGCACTATAATTAAACTGTGCTTTACAGCATTCAAAGAAATGCTCAGCATCACCAGTACTCAGAGAAATGCGAACTGAAACAATGACATTTTCATCAATGAGGCAGGCAGAAATAAGAAAGCTGGTGAATCCCCATGTTGGCAGAAATGGGAACCACAGGAACTCTTATGCACTGATAGAAAGAGTGTAGACTGGGTTAGCATTTCTTAAGGATCTTCTGTGTGGATTTAATCACATTAAATGTGTTTAAACTCTGTAACGCACAGTTTTGCTCCCAGACACCAAAGGAATTCTCCCATAGGTCCAGGAGGGAACACACACGGTGATATTCACTGTAGCATCCTCTGTGGTGTGGGGAGTTGGTGGCTACATGGGCTTCATCACTAGTACAAGCAAAGGCAATCCTCAAATCCATTGAGGATTATGCTGCTTTTAAAAGAGAGGGCCAGGTATGGTGGCTCACACCTGTAATCCTAGTGCTCTGGGAGGCCAAGGCAGGTGGATCATGAGGTCAGGAGTTCAAGACCAGCCTGGCCAGCATGGTAAAAACCCTGTTTCTACTAAAATTATAAAAATTAGCTGGACATGGCACATGCCTGCAATCCCAGCTACTCAGGAGGCTGAGGCAGGAGAATTGCTTGAACTGGGACCTGGCATGTGGAGGTTGCAGTGAGCCAAGATCACACAGCCTGGGCTACAGAGCTAGACTCCATCTCAAAAATGCATAAATAAATACCATTAAATAAAAAAGAAAAGAAAAGGAAAATAATTAGTGAACTATATAGTTCTATAAATAGATCTCATAGAGCAGTTATGATTGGGGATAAAAACCAGAATGAGATCTAGAATACAACTTCAATACATAAGCTGAAAATACACATGAATAGCAAAACATTTTATAAGAAATCTGTAATGAAAAGCTACACATTAAACATATTGGAACAGTTGCTATAGAAAGGGTGAAATTGGGATATGGGGAGAGAAAGGACTAAAAATACCCAATCAATTATAGAAAAGAGAAGGTATATGCAGTAAATAGTGATAACGTACTATGAACAGAGGGATTGGGTTCCCTCAATCCTCTGAAATTTTGTTCTTAACAAAACAAAACATACACAGCCATTGTATTTTTAGATGACTACATCCAGGCTCTGAGAGGGTGATGATTTTCCCAAGTCATATAGTCAAGTTAAAGAAGCTCAGGATCAAGTCAGAGGCACAAGGATGTCATGACTTTTCATTGGCGACTCTGTGGTTCCCTTGGTCTTACGGTTGCAAAGTAGCTGCCACATCACGTCACTTTAAAATATCTTACCTTTAATTTCTGTAACTGTCTTCTGAAAGGAAGCTTTGAATTGGTACATATGTGGGCAGAAATGGCTGGTTTAACCCCAGCATCGATTCTTCCTTTGTTCTGTTAGGAAAGGCTGAATCCCCCAGCTTCCCTTGTGATTAGATGTGGTCAGGTGACTAAGTCTGGGTCAATGGCATATGAGTGGAAATGATGTGTGCAATTTCTGGGTTCTGCCCTTCCTGCTGGATGGAATGTGAATATGATGGCACCTGGGACCCAAAGGCAGAAGCCGCATCTTGAGAGACAGATGGCAGATCTGCCCCATGGCCTTGTATCATTTACCCCAAGGAACACAACAAGCATTATCCATGAAACCATAGGTTTGGGTGCTAGTTCCAGTTCTTCAAATAGGAATTAAATTAAATATATATCTGTTAAAATTTAAGTGTTGATCCATGAACCATCGAAGCTCATCTCACTGACAGTCCCATGAGTATTTCGCTGTCGTACACGAAGGGGCCCTGCTTATTTTATTTTCACCACAGTCCTGAACACTGGAATTGATTATATGTACTTTGCAGATGAAGTTTGGAGAGGTGAGATGATGTGTTCAGAATCATAGCATTGATCCAGTAGCAGAGCCAGCTCTACGCAAGGGCAGAGTCTTCCACGAGGAAGGGAGGAGAAGCTTTATGACATGGATTAACAAACTTTCTCTATAAATGACCAAATAGTAAATACTGCAGGCTTTGTGAGCCGCTCTGTTGCAACCATTCAACTCTGCCCTTGCAGAGAGAAAGCAGCCACAGACAAAACAAACGAGCAGGCGTGGCGATGTGCCAATACAATTTTATTTACAGGTGCTGAAATTAAAATTTTATATAATTTTCACATCAGGAAATATTCTTCTATAGATTTTTTCCAACCATTTCAAAATGTAAAAGCCATTCCTAGTTGGCAGGTCACACAAGAACGGGTGGTGGGCTGGATTCGGGGTGCATATTGTAGGTCGCTGACCCCTGCTGTACAATATTGGCTTTCTTGATTTTCAGACTGTTTCCCCTAAGAGAATGGCCTGACGGTCACCCTGAGGTGGCAGCAAGCACCTGGGCCTCTGCCCTTTCCCCCATTTCAACCCTCATTAGACTCACTTTATCCATTTTGTACACTGGACTTTCTTTCTTTTTTTAAAGATGGGGTTTCACCATGATGGCCAGGTTGGTCTTGACACTGGACTTTCAAGCAATAATAACCAGTGTTTACTGTGCACCTAGTTTATGCACAGCCTCTAAGGTGAGCCTTGTATCTGAATGAGATGGAGCAAGCATAGACCTCATTTAGGGAAATTGAACTGAGGAAAGAATTAAAAAGAGTACCCGCCCATCCCCGGTTACCCAGTTTCCAAACAGTGGCTCTGGTATTTTGAATCCAGGCTGGCTGACTTCAGAGCCTGCACTCTCAGGCTCCATTATTCTGCCTCCCACATGAGACTTTGAAAGTGGCCAAGAAAATTACTGAAAGCCAAGTCCCTCATTATGAAGATGAAAAATCTGAGACTCAGGAAGGGGAAGGGACTTGCCCAAGGCCACACACAGTGGTGGCCATGCAGTGAAGTCCAGAGTCTTTCCCCGCATGCTGCAGGATGTCGGGAGGGAGGGGACCCTGGTGGCTGGGATAGATACCTACCTTTACAGGCCGTGGGATCAGGGAGCAGGAATTGTTAATGATCAACCCCTAAGACCTAAAACAAGGCTAATTCCAATAGAAAGAGAGCTCTTCACTTTCACCAGTTCTGAGTTTTGACCAGGTGGCAGGAGGTGAGGACAGGGGTGGAGGGAGTAGAGATTCTGCCAGTGGACTAGGAGAGGGACCAGGAAATTCCTAGGGGCTTTAGGTTTGTAAGGACACCTGTAGCAGCAGCAGCAACCATAATTATAATGTGAGCAAGGTTCTCATGTTCTGAGGAACCACCACATGCCAGATACTGTGCTAATTTTTGTGTGTGCGTGATGGAGTCTTACTCTGTCCCCCGGGCTGGAGTGCAGTGGCACGATCTCGGCTCACTGCAACCTCTGTCTCCTGGGTTCAAGCGATTTTCCTGCCTCAGCCTCCTGAGTAGCTGGGATTACAGGTGCATGCCACCATGCCCAGCTGATTTTTCGTAGTTTTAGTAGAGACAGGATTTCACTGTGTCAGCCAAGATGGTCTCGATCTCCTGACCTTGTGATCTACCCACCTCTGCCTCCTAAAGTGCTGGGATTACAGGTGTGAGCCACCATGCCTGGCCTGTGCTAATTTTTTTTATACTCACTAGTTCATCTAATCTTTATAATTGCCCTAGGAGGTAATAATGCTCATTATATAAAGAGACTGAGGCTCAGAGAGGCAAAATGATTTGCCCAAACTAACGTGGTGATTTGCTGAGTTCCATCTGAATCCAGAATCTATGCTTCTAAGCACCTTGCCGTGGGGCCTGGTACAGAGAAGGCAGAACCTAGGGCAGTGTGGGACTATCCAGATAAGACTCCAGAGGTCCTCAGCCTTGGAGGGCAGTGCTGCTGCCTTTCTCTGGTTCCTTTACCCAGTTCTGTGCCCTGCACTGCCTAAGGCACCCAGGGGCCATGTGAGCGATGGCTTCGCCAGTGTCCGCCTGCATGGATGCGCTCCTTAGATCCTCCACCACCCTGTGGGAGGCACTATTAGCATGTCCATTTTACAGAGGAGGAAACTGAAGCTCAAAGGCGCGATTGGCCCAGTGTCCCTTGGCCAGTAAAAGGCCCACATGGATTTTGTTTTTGTGTTTTAGAACAGGGTCTTGTTCTGTCTCCCAGGCTGGAGTGCAGTGGTGTAAGTAGCTTACTGCAGCCTCAAACCCCTGGTTCAAGTGATCCCTAGCCACAGCCTCCCAAAGCACTGGGGTTACAGGTGTGAACCACCATGTCTGGCCCTCCACCTGGCTTTTGAGTCTAAACACTTTCACCTCCTTTCTGTATCCATAGAAAGCTAGCTTGCCGTCTGCATAGTTCTTTTATAGAAAGGCCCAGGATGCCACCCTTCACAACACAAGGGTGTTTTACGTTGGGTGAAGCGTTGTCCTCCTTCAGTCTTCATCCCTAATGCTAACCCACCTCCTGCGACTTTCCTCATCTATAAAACAAGAACACTGACTCTTACATGAGTAAGGAGAGCCAGGTACATAGGAAGTGGTTAATATGTGGCAGTCGTATTAAAAACGACCTCTGAGACTTCCAGGAATGGGAGGCACAGGTAATAAGACCTTCTACCTTGATACCCATCGACATTGCCACTCCTACTTGAGCAGGATTTATTCACTTCCTGGTTTACAATCTGTTTCCTCCATGGACTCTAAGCTCCATGAGGGGTGTATCAATCTTTATCATTGTTGTGAATCTTCACTGGTGCGGTCTTG